GCTAGGAGCTGGTGCTTCTACATGCAAGTGTGCCTCTCTAGAATAATCTGGAATCTGATTCCCAGGCATCGAATCAACGCCTCCCTCCATGCAGCCCAGGCCATACTTCCTTCTGGACAGGAAAGAATGTTGGCGCTGAGGTTTATGCCCCCCACAAAGGGTAGAGCACCCCGAACACATGAAGGGCCACGTGTTTTCTACAGGATGGTTGGGGAGGATGGCGTGAAAGCCTGAACATCTACCCAGATACGGACGGAGGACGAGCACAGGTGCGTCAGGTCCCTGTTCCAGGTCAGTCACAGGCAAGCTGAGCAGCTCCGAGCCAGTGCTGTCACCTTGCTGTGACCTCTATTCCTCCGTCCGGACAAAGGGAAGGTCATAAGACTGAGTGTTCAGGGCTAGTGAGAGGAGACAGTCCTGGCCTAAGGCAAGGGTCCTAGATCATGTATTTCAGGGAGGAGGCTTGGAAGTCAGCTGGATGGATAGGCAACACTCAGCTCTACCATTGTTTACGACTCTCGGAGCCTCTGTTTCCTTGGCTGTAACCTGCAGAGTCTAAGACGGGGAGGGCCTAGCATCTGGTGCACAGGACATACTGCCCACAGAGGAAGCTAGGATCCAAGACAAGGCGCGACTCAGCACCTGAGAGAGAGCACAGACCAGCCGTTCAGATGGACAGGAGCTCCACAAGGAAGAGGGAGGGCAGCCCCGGGGCTAAGAGAAGATCAGAACAGACCAGGAGCCGAGCTGGAGGACAGACCAGCACCTACGTTTGTCGGCTGCCAAGAAGCTGAGATGGAGAACAGACCAACCTCTAAGCTGAAACCAGACCCAAAGCTCAGATGCAGGACAGCCCGGGCGGCGCAGAGATGGAGGGCCAAGGAGCTGAGATGGAATAGCCCAGCAGCGAAGGTGAAGGGCAGCTTGCGAAGCATGGTCTGTGACCCAAGAGCCCCAGGCTGACCGGGAGCACAGGAACCAGAGTCTGCGGTTCTGGTCGTAAGATGAGAGCCCTGGAGACTGAACCCACAGAGCAGGTGTCTCATCACCAATTCTGTTCCTTCGTGCCGTGTGAAGGAAGGAGGGAGATGGCCTCAGGCCGGCTGACCTTCCCTGTTCCTCCACATTCAGCAGTTCCCCAGGTCACCCCGTCCTGAGTGCTCCATTCCCAGTTGCCATGACGTCCCAGATGCCTGGATTTTGTCGGCTCCTGTCACTCACATAAGAAATCCACACCTCCGGTGAAGAAAGCTGATGGTGCCAGGCTACCAAACAATATAGCGTCTGGGATTTTAAGGCTTGAAGGTAAACAAATGGCCATCTAGCTCAGAAGCAACAAAGCCCACATGGAAGAAGCACATCAGCCTTTGTGATCACGAAGTGTCAACGGAATCAGGTATCAGGCATCAAGAAACAAAAAAATCAAATCATTGTGAATGAGGGGGAGTACAGATTGGGGACCCAAGACCCATCTGTAGACAACTGGACATCCCCTTAAAGAAGGGTTGTGGGGAGGAGATGAGCCAGTCAGGGTGCAGTGTAGCAATGATGAAACATACAACTTTCCTCTAGTTCCTAAATACTTCCTCCCACCCCTCCCCACCCCCCACTATCATGATCCCAATTCTACCTTAAAAATCCAGCTAGACCAGAGGATGTACACTGGTACAGATAGGAACTGGAAACACAGGGAATCCAGGACAGATGATCCCTTCAGGACCAGTGGTGTGAGTGGCGATACTGGGAGGGTGGAAGGAGGTTGGGTTGGAAAGGGGGGAACCGATTATAAGGATCTACATGTGACCTCCTCCCTGGGGGATGGACAACAGAAAAGTGGGTGAAAGGAGACATCAGACAGTATAAGATATGACAAAATAATAATAATTTATAAATTATCAAGGGTCATGAGGGATGGGGGCAGGGAGGGGGTGAAAAAAATGAGGAGCTATACCAAGGGCTCAAGTAGAAAGCAAATGTTTTGAGAATGATAATGATGGCAACAAATGTACAAATGTGCTTGACACAATGGATGGATGGATGGATTGTGATAAGAGTTTTAGGAGCTCCCAATAAAATGATTTTAAAAAGAAAAAGAAATCCACACCTTGGGAAATCTATGAGGCATGACACTTACTAGTGATTCCTTGGAGTTGTGGCTTGAGGGTGGAAACAATGAGGTGTGATTACTAATGTGAATGGGTATTGTTGGGTGCTTCTAAGGTGTTCACCCCCCTTTTCTGATGTCTTGACTAGAGTACCACGTGTTTCCAACATCCCCGAGGGTCTCAGCTACCTGTTGGGGTGGTTAAGTGTCGCCCCCAAGTTGGCTCTGACTCACAAGAGGACGGAGCACTGGCCAGATGGTCTCTCCTGATAACACGCCCCACGTACAGGAAATCGAAGGTCTACCATCTTCACTCCTAACGAACGTTCTGGCTGTACTTTCCCAGACATGGGTGTTCCTTCTGGTATACTCCATACTCTTCATCAACACCGTAATTTAAAGACACCGCTTCCTTAGTCTTCCTTATTCAATGTCCAGCTTTGGTATGCAAAATCAGAAATACCACGAGAGGGTTGTGCTGCCACCCCCCTAAAATCCGTTTGGTTTGGGTCCGTCTTACCATTCTCAGGGTTATTTTTGAAACCTTTCATTGGGTTTCCAGTGAAAGCTTAGATAGCAGTTGAGGTTCCCAATCGGCAACTTCTCCCCGACGTGTTCGATGGCGTTGGTCACAGGCCAGTGGGTGGAAAGTCCTGTGAGGCCAATGGCAGTGGACACCTCTCCAGGGCTCTGGCTGCCATCAGCATTTCCATGTGGCTTGTCAACAGGGATGTGAGGCAGAGGGAGAGTGTGTCCTGCCTCCAAGGAGGAAGAGCGGAAGTCCCAGAATCGTCATGAGAAGACCACACCACAAGGAGGGATCACTGTGACCTGATTGACAGGCTAGACTCCACCCCTTCATTCTTATTTATTAAGGTGACATGAAATTGTGTTACTACCACAGTATGAAAGTACCTGAGCTTGTTTATCCATTCCTCTATAATTGGGGTTCTTGGTTTTTTCCATGATTTTGCTATTGTGGAAATTGCTGCAATAAACATATATGTAAAAATGTCTGTTCATGTTGATTTCTTAATTTAATTTGAGTATATGCCCAGCAGAGCAATTGCTGGATCATAAGCTACTTGGGTTTGCATGTGTTTAAGGAGATGGCATACTCGTTTCCATAATGGTTGTACAATTCCATCGAGTAGATTCTGACAAATTCAAACCTATTGCACAGAGTACAAGCGTCCCGGTGGGTTTCCAAGACCAGGGCCAGGATTAACTGCAACCTGAGAGGCATACATGGCTCTTTCGGTACATACATGTGGCTCTGAGTTAACATCGAAAAAAAATGTGAAGGATAGTATTCAGATAATGGTGATTTCACTTGTTTGTAAAAATATATGTATGCTTCTTGAATAATTTTTAAATGGTTTTGAGGGACAGGATTGTATCTTCCACCTCAAAAGTTTGCTGATCCCTGGCCTAGATGATAAATCTTTATGGGGGTAGAAAGCCTCCTCTTTCTCCCATCGCGTGACTGGTGGTTTTAAACTCCTGACTTTGTAGTGAGCAGCCCAACTGGTAACACGCTTGGCCACCGGGGCTCCTCAGTCAAAGCTTGACTGGCCTAGGGGTGAACAGTAACACTGGCGGGTGGGGAGTACACATCCCTGTGAGCCCTCAACCAGACGAGACCAGGAGGGCAGCCCAAGGACAGAGCTCAGAGGTAGGAAGGGGCACCGCAGGAGGAAGGACCAAAAGGGGCTGAGTGCTGTTGCGCTGTAGGGATGGTGGTCAAGGTCACGGAACACCATGCGTACGAATTATGGAGTGGAAAACCAATTCTCTGTAAACTTTAACCCAAACATTTTAGCTAAGATAACGTGGGTGCTTTACTTGGTTTAGTTATTGTATCTGTGCTCAAAATTGTTCTGACCCGCAGAGATCTGACAGCAGAACTCGCCCGGGCATAGGGTTTTCTGGGCTGCAAGCTGTATAGGAGCAGAGCATCGGGTCTTCCTCCCTCTGAGCCACTGGGTGGGTTCAGACTCTGCCAACCTTTTGGATGGGAGATGTGTTCAGCTGGGTGGTCTTGAGAAACAAAACCAGTGACACTCGTATATGTAGAAGAAAGAACTTTCTATCAGTCAAGTCGTTTTATAGCAAGAAGGCGCCCCAGCCCAATCTGTGGGTCTGACACGAGCCAAAGCCCTCTTCGGACTCACGTAGCTGCAGGCAGGTGACGCAAAGGCTGGTGGGTGCAGAGTCTTATGGATGCAAAGTCGGGGAAACGTGGCAGTGAGCCAACAGGTCCCAGAGCTGGTGGCCCACGTGCAGCCACCCTTGCAGGCAGACACCGAATCCAAGCAAGCATGAGGAAGAAGGTACAGAGAGAGACAGACAGACCCAGAGCAGTTCCCAGTGTCTCTCTTACAAAGGCCACACCCACAAGGAGGCATCATCAGGCTGTGAACTCCTTGGTAGATTGGACTCCACCCCTCCACGTTCACACAGGTGCAAGTTGACATAAAACCCAACCCCCACAGTAGCCAAGGGTTTGACCAGACTGATGTGAAATAAAGGAAAAAGGAAGAAAGGCAGGAAAGCCAGAGCCTCTGATGTAGTTTGTTTATTTAATGCCGATAATGACTCGACAGGGTCAGTCTCATGCTTTGCCTTGGGGGTTGGCTGATTGTGTCCTGTGGCGTGTAAGTGCCAGCCTTCTACACGGATGACACAGGCCCCATGAGTAGCTCTGTCCCGCTCTACCGGAGTCAGAACCGGCCCTGTGGTAACAAGCTTGGTTTCTTGTTTTGATGCTTTTGTTTTGTTTTGCTTCTAGGATGCATGGGTTAAGTGCTTGGATGCTAACTTAAAGTCTGGTGGTTCAAACCCACTGGCCTCTGTCCAGGAGAGAGATTTGGTAGCTTGCTCTTAGAAAGTCTACCTGGCCTTAGAAAGCCCCATGGGGGCCGTTTTACTCTGTCCTGTAGGGTCACTGAGAGTCAGACGGATTCGGGGGTACACAGCGACACCAGGGGGGTACACAGCGACACCAGTCATTGTTCGAAGCACTTGGCGGCGATCCTGTTCTCTCAGCCTTACGTCCGCCTTAGAAACAAAACAAAACGACCCCCTGCAAGCAGGTTGGCATGACTCAAGCCACCCTGCGGGACAAGGGAGAAGTGCCCGACCTCATCAGGTAGGTGAAACCACTGTACGAGCCCTGGTGGCACCGTGGGGGAAAGCACCACCCAAAGTCATCGTTTCTAACCCACCAGGCACTTCCTGGGGGAAAGATGTGGCTCTCTGTTCCCATAAAGATCCACAAGCTTCGGACGCCCTTTGGAGCCGTTCTCCTCTCCCCATCCACCTCACGGCCGTAGGACGAGCTCTTTCCCACTCTCCCAGCACCCTCTGTCTCTGTCTCATCCTTCCGCTGTTTCCTCTTCCCACGTCTCTCTTCCCCTCCCTGGCTCAACTGTCCCTCTACCGCTTGACATCCTCCCCACACATCTCTCTATCTTCCCGTTCCTCATTCCCCCCTCTCCCCCTTTGCTCTCCTGCGGCCAGCGCGTTGTGAGGAAGAGCGGGGCCCCTGAAGTCTTCGTTCAGGTCCGCACCTCCTCCCTCTGGGCTATGTCCAAGCCGGCTCCTCACTAGAGAGACTGCAGTCCTCTCACGGGTCTTTGGAGAGCTGGGTCACGAGGGGCGGAATCAGAGACTTGCAGACTCCGCCGTGAACAGGTCTCGGGCCAGGACTGGTGTCACCACCTTTGGCTCCGACAAGGCCCTATAATTGGCCACCACTAATGAGACTTGGGTGAGGAGACCTTGGCCCAGGAGCAAAGATCCTCTTGAGCTTCCGAGAACGCCCTCTTTTCTTGCCTGAACACGAGCACTGAGGGCTGGCTGGGAGGGAAGCCACGCCACGTCAATTTCTGTCTTTTCAAATCAATCCCATCCCTCTCTCTCCCCTTTCCTGTTTCTTCTTCTTTGCAAACGATTCTGAAAAGTCTCTCCATCGACGTCTCCACATTTCTCTTCTTCCCCTCCCTCCTTCTGTTGGCGTCTCTTCCTTTTTTGTCTCTGTTCTCTCTGGCTTCCTGGCCCACTTCTTCTGAGGGACTCTCTCCCCAGTGACCCACGGCCATGCACAGGAGCCACAGAAGGCAGGACTGACCGGGAGCTTCTGTAAAGACTCTCCGCTGAAGACCACCACCCTCGAGTCTATTCCAGCTCAGGGCCAACCTCCTCCACAACAGAGTAGAACTGCCTCGCAGGGTCTCATTGGCTGTGACCTCGATGGGAGCACTCGGCGGTGACCTCTGCAGTGTTCAAACCCACCCAATGGCGCTGTGGGAGGAAGACGTGCTGATCCGCTTCAGGAAGATGAGGACCAGAGGAAGCTAGATCCCAGGGGAGCTACAGGAGCACTGGCCACTTTGGCCGGCGGCAGTTGGGGAGTGGGGTGGCCAACCAGCCCCGCTTCCTCTCTCTGGGTCTGCCCTCCTCTTCCATCCTGACGCCCCCTCCTCAAGCCAGGAAAGCTGCCCAGCCACCAGCAACACGCCGCCCCCCGCCCCCATGTCACCATGGCAACTACCGCTGACAAGTCTTCTTATATCTTTGATGTGATTCTGGGGGACAGGGGTGTAGGAAAACCCTGCTTGCTTCATCAATTTACAGAAAAAAACTATCTATCTAGGGCTGACTGGCCTCACACGATTGAATGTGGTCCAAGAACAATGGGAGTTAGTGGCGGATTCAGGACACAGCAGGACAAGAGCAGTTTAGGGGGGTCCCACGGAGCTACTAAAGAGCTGCTGCTGCAGGAGCCTTTATGGGTGTGGTGTGACTACAAGAAGGACAGTCC